CCTGGAGATCCTCATCACTGATATAAACGACAACGCACCGGTTTTCCTGCCCATCTCCGAGACGTTCGGTGAGCAGCCGGGCTCCGTAGGTGCTGCGTGCCATGTGCTCCTGTCTGCATCTGCATGTGCATGTGCACGTGCGCACACACCTGTACACGTTGGCACAGCGTTGGCATGACTCTGCCTTGCTCCCTGGCAGCAGGGTCCTTTCCCCAAAACTGTTCCCCTCCTGGGCACTTCCAGCCACTGCCAGAAGTGGGGGGCAGGGCAGGGCTAGGAGATATGCGGGCTCTAGTGTGGGATTAGTTAATACTTTTCGTGAGGGCTGTGGCTTTCTCCTCAGGGCTGAGGGCAGTGCAGGGACGCCTAGAGCTCTGCCTGCCATCTCTGAGCCCTGGGGTGTGGGGGGAACAGGATCTGCAGCAAGCCTGGCTGCACACTGGCATGGCCTCACTCTCTGTCCATCCATCCCTGGCAGTGGTCGTCCCTGACATCTCTCCTGTGAACCTAGAAGTGGCTGTAGTGAAGGTGAGGAGCTGTGTGCATGCATCTCTCTGTCTGTGGATTTGGGCTCATCCGTCCCAGCCCTGGCCAGGCTGCGGGTCATTCCCACCCGTGCTCCTGCCATGCTCTGTGCCAACAGGCCAAGGATGCCGACTCGGAGGCTGGGGGAGTCATCATCTTCTCCATCCTCAGCGTGGTGCTCGTGCAGGACAACGGCATCAGTCGGCCTTTTGAGAACCTCTTCAAGGTGGTGACCACGGCTGAGCAGGACACCTACATCGGGAGCATCCAGTAACGCCATGGGTCTGGGCCAGGGGGGAGGGGGGAGCATGGGATTGGGTCTGTTCCTGTGCAGCTTCAGTCCTACCTGCTGCCAAGGCAGGGGCAAAAGCAAGGGCTTTACCAGTGCAGGCTGGTAAAGAGCTGAAGGAGTCCCAGGGGTCCTGCTCTGGGCACAGCGGTGCGGTGGAGCTCAGGGGATGGTGGTACCTGGGGATGTCCTGTGCAGCCCAGTGGGATCACTGATGTCCTGTCCTCCCAGGGTGGCCAGCAACCTCGACGCCTCACTGAAGGGGCAGTACCAGGTGACGGTGGAGGCCAAGGATGACAAGGCACCGGTGCACACAACGCAGACTGTGCTAGATGTGAGTGTCACCCCTGTCCCCCTGTCCAGGGACGCCCTGCACCCTGCCCAGCGCCATTCACCCCTGCTCTCCCCACGCAGATCTTCACAGTGGATCAGAGCTACCTAGTTGTCCTCCAGTTCGTGATCCCAGTGGATGAAGTCCAGAGTAACTTGGACAGTATTAAACTGTAAGGGACACTTGGCCTGTGATGGGGAGGGTGTGTTGTGCCCAGTGGGGATGTCAAGTACCCCATGCAGCGTGGCAGACATGGGCACATGGGTGCCCCTTGGCCTGCAGGGCAGCTCCCTCCTCACCCAGCCCCCTGAAAGCACTGTGAGCTGTGCTATGGAGCTGGCACCCACAGCCCTGGTCTCTTCCAGCCTCACTGGGAGCAAAGGAGATGGGGCAGGTGGTAGTCTGGGGAGGGGATCCCCACTGAAGCTGGAGGCTTCAGGGGGTCTAGCTGCTCCCCGTGCCTGAAAGTACAGTGGCAGGACATCTGGCCCAGGCTCCCTGCATCCCCACTGCTTCTAGGGCGCTGACCATGGCGACCAAGGCACAGGTCTATGTGGTGGCCATCCGGACCCAGGAGAACGCCCGCACCTCCCGTGCCTCCCGGTGAGCTGACTGGGGTGGGGGCCGCCTGGGCCTGCACATGTGGAGGGAGCGGGCAGGGGAGAGGGGACATTGTGACATTGTGGTGGCAGCTCGGGGTGGGGGTTGGCCCAGGGCAGGGCTTGTGCCCCGCACCCTGGCACCCTGCTTACCCCGCGCCCCTCACTGCTGCAGGGCTCAAGCCAAGTCTGTGATGGAGGTGTACTTTGTCTACAGCAACGGCACCGCATTGCAAGTCAACCAGCTAAGCGTGTGAGTTCCTGGGGAGGGGGCCGTGCGGGCAGCACCCGCTCACCCAGCCCGGCCCGGCTGCCTCACCTCTCTGCTTGCCCTTGGCAGGCTCCTACAGAGCAACTCTCAGGTCTTGACGCAGCTGGTGACTCTGGGCCTGGCCGTCATCGTGAGTGGGGCAGGGCAGGGGGCACAGGGAGAGGGCACCAGTCCCATGCTGGGCCACATGGCCCACTGCCCAGGGCTGTGCCCTCACCTCTGCTCTGTGCCAGGGCCCCGGCGAGGTGACGAAGCCCGACAAGGAGAAGGAGCTGATTGGTGTCATCGCAGGGCTGGCAGCATTCATACTCCTCTTCATCCTCATCATGATTCTGGCCTTGGTTCTCACCACCAGGAGGTAGTGCACAGCCTGCACCCAGTCATGCTTCCTCCAGCATCACCGCTGCCCTCCTCCTTGCTGCCCATGCACATCCCAGTGCTCCAGCTCCAACCTTGCCTTTCTCACCCTCCCCGTCCTTGGGCTTTGCAGCTTCAAGAGGAAGCTGAAAGAAATGGCCTGCCACGACGCGCACCCCTGCCATGGTGCAGCAGGGACCAGGCATCCCCGGGACCAACCAGTACAATGCTGAGGGGTGAGTGCGGGCTCTTTGCAGCAGGAGGGGACAGCCCAGGCTAGGGGCTGCAACCAGCAACTCACTGTCAGCACTCACTGTCATAACCCCTGTCTGGGGGACGCGCCTGCCCTGGGCTGTCCCCACAGTGCTGCAGGGCTGTCACTCACCTGCCACCCATCCTTTGCCAGGGCGAACCCCGTGCTCAACCTCTCCCTCGATCCCTCCCACGATCTGGGCTTCCACGAGGACTCCTGCTCTCTGGCCAGGTGAGCTCTCTGGGCAGGTCTCAGAGGCCATGGGGCCATCACCCTGCGTCCTGGCTCTGCCCGGGCCATCTTTTAACCCATGCCCTCTACTCTCCCCAGCATGAATTCATTGGATGAAAACCTAGTAAATGCAGCCGGGGACGATACCCCCAAGGCCAAGGTGAGTGTGCAAAGAGCTGCCGGTGCCTAGCAGGGAGTCCTGCCCCCGAATCCCCTCCCATTCTGCCCAGCCCTGCTCCTTTCTGCTGTAGCACACGGGCTTTCAGACCCCTTGTGTGCTCTTCTCTCCATCCCCTTGACAACCCCCAGCTCCTGGGGGGGAAATGTCCTTGTCCCCGTCCCCACCTCCAGCTGCGCTCTCCTCCCTCCCACAGAAGGGCAAAGCGTGGCTCGTGGACACCACTGCTGACGAGGCACTGGCGGCTGCCCTGCACCTGCAGAAACCCAGCAAAGTAGCATTCATTAACGATGCCTTCACCACCACGGACTTGTGAGTGGGCGCACAGGTGGCAGCTGGGCCAGAGCGGGACTCAGGCAGCTGCTTTAGTGACGGTGTCCTCAGATGCCAACAATAAACCTGTCCCACCTTGTCCCACCTGAGTCAGCCCGTCTGCCCAGCGGTGCCTGAGGGGGCCAGCCAGCGCGGGGCCCAGCCAGCGGCCCGCTGGGGACACGCGTCAAGCCCTGCCATCTC